TTCATGTGTGACCTGGTTAGTTAGCCTGTTAGCTGCTTCATGTGTGACCTGGTTAGTTAGCCTGTTAGCTGCTTCATGGATCAAACTCCTCCCCTCACAGCTAGCACTGAAAATAAACTCAACATATTAAAACACTACATGCTTTAACTTTTAGTCACTGGGCGGCTAAAACTCTAATAATCTTGTTTTGAATTCTGAAGCTGTGGTGSTTTTTACTGTCACCACCTTTAAAGCTGACTCAGCACTTTCAGGCTCAGAGTCACTGCTGATCGGCTCCACCTTCAGCTCAGCAGCTGCAGTTCTGCAAACGCCCATCCGGCTCAGCTGGTGTGAAATATTTCTGCTTCTCTTCTGTCGTATCAGCTCCCCACAGAGAGAGCTGCAGGGGAACCTGTGACCTTCTTACTGTGAGGCGACAGCTCTGACCGCTGCGCCACCTCAAACCAGTCCAACCAGTTCTGAATAACTCAGAGCTGACCTGGTCTTTAGAGTCACTGGATCTGTTTCAGAGTCTGGAATGTGCTGGAAAAACAAATCTGATCCACTGAGCTCCTCCTGCTGCAGCAGAGGACGGAAACCAGCTGCCTGACAGCACAGGTTACATCTGTAGGAAGATTATAGTAATATTATAATTAATATTCAAGACTTTATTCTCTCAGTCTGGTACCTCAGAACAGGAGKTTTAAATGAGATGAAATGTTACACTGACCTCATCAAACGGTTACATAAAAACTCTAAAACTGAAGCAGTGGGGGTGGGGCGGGGGGGTTAATGTCTCTGAAACAACACTCAAAATTTAAAGACAGAATTTGCACTTTTTACTATGATTCTGAATTTTACAGATCTAATGATCCAAAACTGCAGCTGTTCTGTCTCAGCTGAAGTGGTTTCGGCTGGTACAGTGGTTTGCAAAAGTATTCATACCCCTTGAACTTTTCCATATTTTGTCACATTACAACCACAAACATAAATATATTTCACTGGAATTTAATGTGAAAGACCAACACAAAGTGGTATACAATTGTGAAGTGGAAGCAAAATTTTACATGAATCAAAACATTTTTTACAAATAAAAAACTGAAAAGTGCGATGTGCAAAAGTATTCAGCCCCCCTGAGTCAATACTTTGTGGAGCCACCTTTTGCTGCAATTACAGCTGCAAGTCTTTTAGGGTATGTCTCCACCAGCTTTGCACATCTAGTGACTGCAATTCTTGCCCATTCCTCCTTGCAAAACAGCTCAAGCTCAGTCAGATTGGATGGAGAGCGTTTGTGAACAGCAGTTTTGAGATCTTGCCACAAATTCTCAATTGGGTTTAGGTCTGGACTTTGACTGGACCATTCTAACACATGAATATTCTTTTTTTTAAACCACTCCATTGTAGCTTTGGCTTTATGTTTAGGGTCGTTGTCCTGCTGGAAGGTGAACCTCCGCCCCAGTCTCAAATCTTTTGCTGACTCCAACAGGTTTTCTTCCAAGATTGCCCTGTATTTGGCTCCATCCATCTTCCCATCAACTTTGACCAACTTCCCGGTCCCTGCTGAAGAGAAGCACCCCCAGAGCATGATGCTGCCACCACCATATTTGACAGTGGGGATGGTGTTTTCAGAGTGATGTGCAGTGTTCTTTCTCCGCCACACATAGCRTTTTGCATTGTGGCCAAAAAGTTCAATTTTGGTCTCGTCTGACCAAAGCACCTTCTTCCACATGTTTGCTGTGTCCTCAACATGGCTTCTGGCAAACTGCAAACGGGACTTCTTATGGTTTTCTTTTAACAATGGCTTTCTCCTTGCCACTCTTCCATAAAGACCACATTTGTGTAGTGCACGACTAATTGTTGTCCTGTGGACAGTTTCCCCCACCTGAGCTGTGGCTCTCTGCATTTCATCCAGAGTCACCATGGGCCTCTTGGCTGCCTCTCTGATCAGTGATCTCCTTGTTCGGCCTGTAAGTTTAGGTGGACGGCCTTGTCTTGGCAGGTTTACTGTGGTGCCATACTCTTTCCATTTCCGGATGATGGATTGAACAGTGCTCCGTGAGATGTTCAAAGCTTGGGAAATCTTTTTATAACCTAAGCCTGCTTTAAACTTCTCCAAAACCATATTCCTAACCTGTCTGGTGTGTTCTTTGGACTTCATGATGCTGTTTGCTCCCCAATATTCTCTTAACCAACATCTGAGGCCGTCACGGAGCAGCTGTATTTGTACTGAGATTAGATTACACACAGGTGGACCCTTTTGAGTCATTAGCAGTCATCAGGCAACTTCTGAATGCAATTGGTTGCACTCAGGGAAAAGGGGGCTGAATACTTTTGCACGTCGCACTTTTCAGTTTTTTATTTGTAAAAAATGTTTTGATTCATGTAAAATTTTGCTTCCACTTCACAATTGTATACCACTTTGTGTTGGTCTTTYACATTAAATTCCAGTGAAATATATTTATGTTTGTGGTTGTAATGTGACAAAATATGGAAAAGTTCAAGGGGTATGAATACTTTTGCAAACCACTGTATGTGCATGTCTGTGTAAAGACCTGAGTCCGTTGTGAATCTTCTGGATCAAAGTTTTGTTTTTGAGGAACGGGTCGGTTGACACAAATGATCCAGAAAAGCAGCAAAAGGCCGAATGCAGGAGCTACAGTGGTCTGGTCTGGTCCGGTCCAGTCCAGTCCAGTCCAGTCCAGTCCAGTCCCTGTCTGGACCGGTCTGAGTCCTGATCTGAGTCTGACTGAATGAGGTCAGGACTTGTTCCTGGTCTGACTGGAGTCCTGGCTTCAGTTTAGCTCATGTGTTAAATCCTGACATGTTGGAGGATGAGTTCGAAGTGTTTCTGCTGTGAACGTCTGCTGTGTCTGAATACCTCCTGTCAGATATCCGGGTCAGCTACTGCTACACCAAGTTTGAAAACGGGCGCTGCCTGGCTCCGAAGGCTCTGAACACCACCAAGGCCGAGTGCTGCTGCACCATGATGCCAGGTCAAGGCTGGGGAAGCCCCTGTGAGATCTGCCCCACCAAAGGAGAGGGTGGGTATACTTCCTGCCACGCTTCACTCAAAGAGCCTGGGTACTTCCTGAGTATGGACCTGGGTACTCTTAGGGTATTCATGGGGTATCTGTAGGGTATCTTTGGGGTATCTGTTGGGTATCTGTGAGGCATTGATGACAGTTTGTCCTGTCTTTGTCCCAGAGGCGTACGGTCCTCTGTCCTAACGTAGGGTATCTGTAGGGTATCTGTGGGGTATCTGTGGGGTATCTTTGGGGTATCTGTAGGGTATCTGTGAGGTATTGATGACAGTTTGTCCTGTCTTTGTCCCAGAGGCGTACGATCCTCTCTGTCCTAACGTGGGGTACAAGCAGGGTCCAGACGACCATCCTAAAGGTTGGTAAACCCTCGGTCTCTCTGGACTTTCATCTCTTTGGATCTTTCAGGAAGTGGTGACTTTGTGTTTCAGATATCGATGAGTGCATCAATGACCCATGCGTTAACGGGCAGTGCATCAACACGGACGGCTCCTTCAGGTGCGAGTGTCTCTTGGGGTACGAACTGGATGTCAGCGGGGTCACATGTGAAGGTCAGTTCTCTCTCTCTGTCTCTGGCTCTCTCTCTGTTTGGTGGATTATAATCCTAACTCTCTGCCATGCAGACAAAAATGAGTGTGACACCGGTAATCCCTGTGGGAACGGCACGTGCACTAACGTGATTGGTGGGTTTGAGTGTGCGTGTGATGAAGGCTTTGAGCCTGGACCCATGATGACCTGTGAAGGTACGTCAGACTGAAGGTCCCTCCTGGTTTGTTTGGGTTGTGTTGTTTGAAATGTTCTTCTCTCTGCAGACATCAACGAGTGTTCCCAGAATCCTTTGCTGTGCGCCTTCCGCTGCGTCAACGTGGTGGGCTCGTACGAGTGTAAATGTCCTACGGGCTACGTGCTCCGCGAGGACAAGCGGATGTGCAAAGGTACGTCAGCAGAGTGACTCACTGGTTCTGTCAGACTCGGTCCGTTTCCAGGGAGGATAAACAAAGTTCCTCAGACTTTCAGGCTCCATCCATAAAGTTCTATAAGTCACTATCGGAGGTCCTGAAGGGCTCTCTGTCTGAGAGGAACATAAAACAGTCCAGTTCCATGGCAACCAGTGTGTTTGTAGAGACGCTGTGAGACAGGAGGAACCCGTCTGGAGCGTCACTGTTTACAGCGAAGATCCAAACAGATCTACGGGTCTGATGGTCCAGAGGAGCCGGCTGTTGAGTGAACTCTTCCCATCCTGATCAAACAAATCTGTAATAAGATTTTCTCTTTCAGACCAGAACGAGTGTGAAGACGGTGTCGATGACTGCGCCGGCCGAGGGATGACCTGCAAGAACCTGATCGGTACCTACATGTGCATCTGTTCACCTGGATACACCCGAAAGCCCGGAGGAGACGGATGCACGGGTAAGGAGGGTCCTGCTGGGGTCCACAGCTCTTCATGTAGCAAACATCAACCACGTTATTGATGTGAAAAGATTTCCTGCTGACGTCACAGCCTCAGACAGAGGTCCTCAGAGTCTTCAGCCACCTGAAAAAACAACAWATTAAATAAAAAGACACATTTTAAAAACTGCAGGACATTATGGGCCATACCACTTAAAGCTTGAATGTTTTAATCAAACRTTTATTTGATAATAAAAAGGATTCAAACTCACTGCGTGAAGTGAAACAACACAGTATCAGGGACACACACAAGGGGGAAAAATCATAATTTCCATTTTGCATTCTGGGTTGGCTTTAATCTGCTATGAACAGCCCATTCTCTTAATATCATGACTTTAATCTCATATCATGACTTTATTCTCATATCTTGACTTTAATCTCGTAAAATCATGACTAATCTCATAAAATTGACTTTATTCTCAAATCATGACTTTCTCATATCATAACTTTAACCTCATAAAATCATGAGTTTAATCTCATATCATAACTTTAATCTCATAAAATCAGGACTTTATTCTAATATCATGACCTTAATCTCATAAAACATGACTTTAATCTTATAAAATTATGACTATTTTCATATCATGACTTTATTCTCATATCGTGACTTTATTCTCGTGATATCATGACTTTATTCTCATAAAATCATGACTTTATTCTCATAAAATCATGATTTTTTTTCTTGTTATAACATGACTTTAATTTAATTTTCATATTCTCATAATTCTCATAAAATCATGACTTTATTCTCATAAAATCATGATTTTTTTTCTTGTTATAACATGACTTTAATTTAATTTTCATATTCTCATAATTCTCATAAAATCATGACTTTACTCWTAATAATGATTTTTCTCATAAGATGACTTTAATTTTGTAATTGAAAAATGTTGTGTTGTGGTCCTAACAATTCTTTGTAGGGAGAAGGTTTGGACTCAAATTTAAAATAATGAAGTTATCTGGACTTAGTAAAATTCTCACTAATCTCTTGTAACCTGTTTAAACTCCTTTATTCAGCTTTTACTTTGAACCTTTTATGTAAATGTGAGAAGTAAACTGTGTAAAAACTTGTTTGTGTTTTTCTGTCAGACCTGAACGAGTGTTCAGTCAAACCAGGGGTCTGTAAGAACGGTCGCTGTGAGAACACGGTTGGAAGTTACCGCTGCAGGTGTGACCAAGGGTTCATCGCTAGCCCCACCCAGACTGAATGTATCGGTGCGTCARCCTTTTAGCTACTGTTCAGCTGCTTTTAGTCATTCATGTTCAGAGTTTATTTGGTCATTTCTTCAGTTTTAACATGTTTTCTGAGACTTTAATTTGCTTTGATTTAATAAACAAGACTAAAGTCAGCTTGRCAAATCTGAAAAGCTTATATTTGTTCTAAATGTTTCCACTGTGTGCTCCTGTGAGGACCCTCGGTGTGCTCAGAGACATGTGAACCTCAGATCAGACAGCACTGATACAGATGTGTAGCTTATCTCTGGAGGTCCACGTCCTGTCTGGGTGGCACCGTCTGCCTTCCTCAGACCCTCTTCATGTTTCTGTCTCGTCTCCCTCAGATAACCGCGAAGGCTTCTGCTACACTGAAGTCCTGACCACGCTGTGTCAGATGACGTCCAGCAACAGGAACCTGGTGACCAAGTCAGAGTGTTGCTGTGACGGAGGCAGAGGCTGGGGCACCAACTGTGAGCTCTGCCCCCTGCCAGGGACCACCCACTACAAGAAGATGTGCCCCCTGGGCCCCGGGTACACCACTGATGGCAGAGGTACCAGACTGAAGATAACTTCATGAAGCCACAAGTTTAAAACAYGTTGACATCATCGGCCTGCCCTCAGACGATGTGTTGATGACTCTCAGCTACTACCACACCAAGCTTTAGCTCTCTGTCCTCATAACTGACTCATTTCAACTCTACACTGACAGTAGAAACTAAAAACAAGTCTGTGTGACTGTTACACAAACTGAGCAAAGCTCATTGAGTTTCTTGTATCATAAGGTTGGGCTGACAGAACCTCTGACYTCCAGTTGATTATTCCACTGTAGAACCCAGAAGTGAGCCTCCTCAAGCTGTCCTGTAAGTCCTGTTCATGTGAGACAAACCTTTGCTGTGTCCATGCAGACATCGATGAGTGTCGTGTGATGGGAAACCTTTGTAAGAACGGTCAGTGCATCAACTCGCTGGGCTCCTACCACTGCCTCTGCAAGTCTGGATACACCACTGACATCACTGCCACTCAGTGTGTGGGTAAGCTCCTGTCCTYGTCCTGCTGTCCAACACTGCTGGAACTGTGTCTCTGTCCGTCTTTGTAACTGTCCTACAGGATCCAAACTGTTCCTGTGTTTGACTCGTTCTGTCCCTCAGATGTGGACGAGTGCATCCAGGCTCCTAAACCCTGTAACTTCATCTGTAAGAACACAGAGGGAGGCTACCTGTGCTCCTGCCCCAGAGGGTACATCCTGCAGGAGGACGGGAAGAGCTGCAGAGGTCAGAAACACATGAGACATCAGAGCATAGAGCTGCTGCAGCGTTAGCTCTTAGCTGTTGTCTGTGTGTTAGCTGTTAGCTGTGTGTTAGCTGTGTTTTAGCTGCTAGCTGTGTGTTAGCTGCTAGCTGTGTGTTAGCTGTGTGGTAGCCGTTAGCTGCAGTGTTAGCTGTATGATAGCTGTTAGCTGTGTGTTAGCTGTGTACTAGCTGTTAGCTGCAGTGTTAGCTGTGTGATAGCTGTTAGCTGCAGTGTTAGCTGTGTGCTAGGTGTTAGCTGTGTGCTAACTGTTAGCTGCAGTGTTAGCTGTGTGTTAGCTGTGTGATAGCTGTTAGCTGCAGTGTTAGCTGTGTGATAGCTGTTAGCTGTGTGTTAGCTGTGTGATAGCTGTTAGCTGCAGTGTTAGCTGTGTGCTAGCTGTTAGCTGCAGTGTTAGCTGTGTGCTAGGTGTTAGCTGTGTGTTAGCTGTGTGCTAGCTGTTAGCTGCAGTGTTAGCTGTGTGTTAGCTGTTAGCTGCAGTGTTAGCTGTGTGATAGCTGTTAGCTGCAGTGTTAGTTGTGTGCTAGCTGTTAGCTGCAGTGTTAGCTGTGTGCTAGCTGTTAGCTGCAGTGTTAGCTGTGTGTTAGCTGTTAGCAGGGTGCATCAGCCCATGTGTGTTAGTAAAAACTTGTTTGTGAAACACTAAAATGTGCTCTGAGAGCCTCTTTATCTGTATTTACTGTAGCCTTAGTTCCCCTCTGCAGGACCCCTCTGTGAGTCTGGTTCTGGTTCTGTTCCAGTTCATCTGTAGGTCAGCAGCTGTTGGCAGGAGTTTAACTGACAGGAAGCAGCTTCCAGACACACAAACCTTATCAGTGGATGTAAATGTTGTAAAACTTGTTGTTTTTAGATCTGGATGAATGTTCCACCAAACAGCACAACTGTCAGTTCCTGTGTGTGAACACCATCGGTGGGTTCTCCTGCAAGTGTCCCCCTGGCTTCACCCAGCATCAGACCGCCTGCATCGGTACACACACACACACACACACACACACACACACACACACACACACAC